GATTTTGGGCTGAGATTTTGGGATTTTGGGCTGAGATTTTGGGATTTTGGGCTCACCCAGCTGGGAGTGGGAGAAATCCACCGACCAGCCCACGCGCAGCAGCGGCACCTCGGAGCTGCCCTCCTTCCCGGGCAGGATCTGCGACACCTGCGGCAAAATTCGGGATTTGGGATCAAACAATTCGGGAATGGGGCAGGAAAAATCCCTAAAAAACCCCAAACACGCCCAAATCCCACAGAAATGGGCACCAAAAGCCTCAAATCCACCTCAAACTCTACAAAAACATCCCTGGAAAATTCAGAATGTTCCCAAAAATTCCAAACCCACCCAAAAAATTCCCAAATCTGCCCCAAAATGTTCCCAAAATTCCCGAAAATCTCCCCCAAAATTCCCAAATCTCCCTCAAAGCCCCCAAAAATTCCCAAATCTCCCTCAAAACGTTCCCAAAAATCCCTCAATGCCCCCCAAAAATTCCCAAAAATCCCTCAAACCCCACCAAAAATTCACAAATCTCTCAAAACGTTCCCAAAAATCCCTCAAACCCCAAAAATTCCCAAAAATCCCTCAAACCCCCCAAAAATTCACAAATCCTCTCCAAAACAGCCCAAAATTCCCAAAAAAAACCCCAAAATACCCAAATCTCCCTCAAAACGTTCCCAAAAATCCCTCAATGCCCCCCAAAAATTCCCAAAAATCCCTCAAACCCCCCAAAAATTCCCAAATCTCCCTCAAAACCTTCCCAAAAATCCCTCAGTCCCCCCAAAAATTCACAAATCCTCTCCAAAACAGCCCAAAATTCCCAAAAAATCCCCCCAAAATTCCCAAATCTCTCTCAAAACGTTCCCAAAAATCCCTCAAACCCCAAAAATTCCCAAAAATCCCTCAAACCCCCCCAAAAATTCCCAAATCTCCCTCAAAACAGCCCAAAAATTCCCCTTTCCCACCCCAATTCCCATTTCCCGTTTTTTCCCGTCGTTCTCGCTGTTGTTTCCGGCTGTTGTTTCCGGCTGTTCCCCCCGTTGTTCCTGTTGTTCCCCTTTCCCATTTTTCCCGCTGTTTTTCCCGTTGTTCCCGCTGTCATTCCCCCCCGCTGTTCTCATTCCGCCTGTTCTCGTTCCCGTTGTTCCTGCTGTTGTCACTCCCGCTGTTCCAGTCATTCCCGCTGTTGTCATTCCCACCGTTCCCGTTATTCCGGCTGTTCCCGTCATTCCCGTCGTTATTCCCGCTGTTGTCATTCCCACCGTTCCCACTGTTCCCATCAATCCCGCTGTTGTCATTCCCACTGTTCCCATCATTCCGGCTGTTCCCGTCATTCCCGCGGTTATTGCCGCCGTTCCCATTCTGCCTGTTGTCGCTCCCGCTGTTGCCATTCCGGCTGTTCCCATTCCCTTCATTCCCGCTGTTCCTATTCCTGCTGTTCCCATCATTCCGGCTGTTCCCGCCATTCCCGCTGTTCCCATTCTGACTGTTGTCATTCCCGCTGTTCCTGTTATTCCCGCTGTTCCCATTCCCATCATTCCCACTGTTCCCATTATTCTGGCAGTTCCCATTCCCGCTGTTCCCATTCCCGCTGTCATTCCCATTTTCTGGCTGTTCCCATCATTCCCCGCTGTTGTCATTCCGGCTGTTCCCGTTACTCCCACTGTTACCCATCATTCCCGCTGTTCCCATTATTCCGGCTGTTCCCGTCATTCCCCCCGTTCCCATTCCGGCTGTTCCTGTCATTCCGCCTGTTGCCGTCATTCCGGCTGTTCCCATTCCCATCGTTCCAGCTGTTCCCATCATTCTGGCTGTTCCCAGTATTCCCGGCTGCTCGCGGTATTCTGGCTGTTCCCGTCATTCCGGCTGTTCCCATTCCCTCTGTTCCCATTCCGGCTGTTCCCCTCACGCCGGCTGCTCCCATTCCCCCCGTTCCCATTCCAGCTGTTCCCGTCATTCCGGCTGTTCCCATTCCGGCTGTTCCCATCATTCCGGCTGTTCCTGTCATTCTGCCTGTTGCCGTCATTCCGGCTGTTCCCATTCTCTCTGTTCCCATTCCCACCATTCCCGTCATTCCCGGCTGTTCCCGTTATCCCGGCTGTTCCCGTCATTCCCGGCTGTTCCCGTTATCCCGGCTGTTCCCGTCATTCCGGCTGTTCCCGTCATTCCGGCTGTTCCCGTTATCCCGGCTGTTCCCATCATTCCCGGCTGTTGCCGTTGTTCCGGCTGTTGCCGTTGTTCCGGCTGTTGTCTCACCCTGGCCTGGAAGCACACCCTGCCCCGGGTGACTCCGTGGGTGCTGCGGGCTCCGGCCCAGAGTCCCGGGAACCTCTCGGAGAAGAGCGGCTGTCCCCCGTAACGATCGCGGCTGGCCCGGAACTGCAGGTCCGACGTGTCTGGGAACACCAAGATCCCAAATCCCAAATCCAAATCCCAAATCCCAAATCCAAATCCCAAATCCCAATTCCCAAATCCCAAATCCCAAATCCCAAATCCCAAATCCAAATCCCAAATCCCAAATCCCAAAATCCCCAAATCCCAATTCCCAAATCCCAAAATCCCAAAATCCCAATTCCCAAATCCCCCAAAATCCCAAAAAATCCCCCAAAATCCCAAAAAATCCCCTAAAATCCCAAAAAATCCCCCAAAATCCCAAAAAATCCCAAAAAATCCCAAAAAATCCCCAAAAATCCCAAAACGATCCCAAAAAATCCCCCAAAATCCCAAAACGATCCCAAAAAATCCCCCAAAATCCCAAAAAATCCCAAAACGATCCCAAAAAAACCCCCAAAATCCCAAAATGATCCCAAAAAATCCCCAAAATCCCAAAACGATCCCAAAAAATCCCAAAAAATCCCAAAACCATCCCAAAAAATCCCAAAACCATCCCAAAAAATCCCCAAAAATCCAAAATGATCCCAAAAAATCCCAAAACGATCCCAAAAAATCCCAAAAAATCCCAAAACCATCCCAAAAAATCCCAAAACCATCCCAAAAAATCCCCAAAAATCCAAAATGATCCCAAAAAATCCCAAAACGATCCCAAAAAATCCCCCAAAATCCCAAAAAATCCCCAAAATCCCAAAATTATCCCAAAAAATCCCAAAACGATCCCAAAAAATCCCAAAATGATCCCAAAAAATCCCAAAACGATCCCAAAAAATCCCCAAAAATCCCAAAAAATCCCCAAAAATCCCCCAAAATCCCAAAAAATCCCCCCAAAATCCCAAAACGATCCCAGGGAATCCCAGAATGATCCCAAAAAACTTCCAGCTCCTCCCAAAAAACTCCCAAAAATCCCACCAAAAATTCCAGCCCATCCCAACAACCCTCCCAAAAAATTCCACGGAATTCCCCCCCCCTCCCCCCGCCGGGATCCCAAATTCCTGAAATCCTCGGGAAGCTTCCGGAATTCCCGGAATTCCCGGAATTCCCGTACAGGTGTCGAGGATCACGAGGGTCTCGTCCTCCTCCCCCTCCGGCGGCTCCTCCTCCGGCGGCGGCGGCGATTTGGATCTGCGGGATCGGGGAAAAAAATCCCCCAAAATTTGGGAAAAATCCGGAATTTCCGGGAGGGAAAATCCCAAATCCGGAGAGATTTTCCCCCCCCCAAAAAAAAAATAAAAATGATCCCGAATTTCTCGGGAATTGTTCTTGGGGTTTCCCGGGTTTTCCGAGAATTTGGGGATCCTGGTTTTCGGTGTGGTGGAAATTCCGGGGAAATCCCTGAATTCCTCGGGAATTCTGTGGGTTTGGGGATTTTTCTGGAAGCTTCTGGATGATTCCAACCCCTTAAAACCGCGGGGAAAAGAAGTAAGAATAAAAAAAAAACCTGGAAAAAATTCCAGGAAAAATTCCAGGAAAAATTCCAGGGGAAATCCCTGAATTCCTCGGGAATTCTGGGGTTTGGGGATTTTTCTGGAAGCTTCTGGATGATTCCAACCCCTTAAAACCGCGGGAAAAAGAAGTAAGAATACAAAAAAAACCTGAAAAAAATCCAGGAAAAATTCCAGGAAAAATTCCAGGAAAATTCCAGGAAAAATTCCAGAAAATATTCCAGGAAAATTCCAGGGGAAATCCCCGAATTCCTCGGGAATTCTGTGGGTTTGGGGATTTTTCTGGAAGCTTCTGGATGATTCCAACCCCTTAAAACCGCGGGAAAAAGAAGTAAGAATACAAAAAAAAACCTGGAAAAAATTCCAGGAAAAATTCCAGGAAAAATTCCAGGGAAAATTCCAGAAAATATTCCAGAAAAATTCCAGGGGAAATCCCCGAATTCCTCGGGAATTCTGTGGGTTTGGGGATTTTTCTGGAAGCTTCTGGATGATTCCAACCCCTTAAAATCTCCAGGAAAATATTGGAAAATCCAGGGGAAAAAATCCAGAAAAATTCCAGAAAAAAAAACCAGAAAATATTCCAGGAAAATTCCAAGAAAATTCCAGAGGAAATCCCCAAATCCTCAGGAATTCCCTGATTTTGGGATTTGTCCAGAACCTCCTGGATGATCCCAAAATCCCTTAAATCCACTGGAAAAATCTTTAGAAATTCAATAAAAAAACAGAAAAATTCTTCAAAAATCCGAAAAAAATCCCTCAAAAATTCCAGATGATTCCAGGAAAATTCCAGAAAAAAATCCCAAATCCTCAGGAATTCCTTGGTTTTGGAATTACTCCAAAATGATCCCGAAACCCCTTAAAACCTCCCCAAAAAATCTTTAAAAATTCAGAAAAAAATCCAGGAAAAATTCATAAAAAAATCCCAGAAAAATTCCAAAAAAATTCCCAAAAAAATCCCGGAAAATTCCAGAAAAAATTCCCAAATCCTCAGGAATTCCCTGATTTTGGGATTACTCCAAAATGATCCCAAAACTCCTTAAAACCCCCAGAAAAAATCTTCAAAAATTCAAAAAAAAATCTAGAAAAATTAAAAAAGAATCCCCCCAAATTCCCAAAAATTCCATAAAAATTCCAGGAAAAAAATCCCCAAATCCTCAGGAATTTTGGGATTTGTCCAGAACCTCCAGAACGATCCCAAAACTCCTTAAAAACCCTCAGAAAAAAACTTTAAAAATTCAGAAAAAAACCCAGAGAAATTTAAAAAAAATCCGAAAAAATCCCCCAAAAATCCCAAAAAATTCCGAAAGAATTCCAGAAAAATTTCAGGAAAAAAATCCCAAATCCTCAGAAATTCCCTGATTTTGGAGTTACTCTAAAATGATCCCAAAATCCCTTAAAACCCCCCCCAAAAATCTTTAAAAATTCAGAAAAAAACCCAGAGAAATTTAAAAAAAATCCAAAAAAATCCCCCAAAAATCCCAAAAAATTCCGAAAGAATTCCAGAAAAATTCCAGGAAAAAATTCCCCAAATCCTCAGGAATTTTGGGATTACTCCAGAACGATCCCAAAACTCCTTAAAACTCCCAGAAAAAATCTTTAAAAATTCAGAAAAAAGCCCAGAAAAATAAAAAAAATTAAAAAAAAATCCCAAAAAATTCCAAAAAAATCCCAAAAAATTCCAGGAAAAAATTCCCAATTCCTCAGGAATTCCCTGGTTTTGAGATTACTCCAAAATTATCCCAAAACTCCTTAAAACCCCCAGAAAAAAATCTTTAAAAATTTAGAAAAAAACCCAGAAAAATCAAAAAAAAAAATCCCGAAAAAATTTCCCAAAATTCCCAAAAAATTTTAGGAAAAAAAATCCCAAATCCTCAGGAATTTTGGGATTTGTCCAGAGCCTCCAGAACGATCCCAAAACTCCTTAAAACCCCAAGAAAAATCTTTAAAAATTCAGAAAAAAACCCAGAAAAACCCAAAAAAAAATCCCCAAAAAATTTCCCAAAATTCCCAAAAAATTTTAGGAAAAAAAATCCCAAATCCTCAGGAATTCCCTCAATTTAGAATTATTCCAAAACAATCCCAAAACTCCTTAAAACCCTCAGAAAAAAATCTTTAAAAATTC